ACACAAATCTGAAAAAACAAACATGCGCAGCCATTTGGGAGAGTTACTGCCTTTAAAGTCTAACAAGGCAAATAATTAATCGCTAGAAGATCAGAACAGGGTATTCGAGATATACACCCATCAGCCACTTCATTAGGTGCACGTGTTTAACTGCTTGTATATCTAATCAGCCAATCATATGGCAGCGACTTTGCATTTAGGTATGTGGGCATGCTTTGTATCAATGGTTCAGGATGATGGTGATGGTGTAATAGTATGGAACATATTTCCTTGCCAGGGGTTGGGCCCCATAGTTCACAATGTGCACAGCCGATTTGAGCACTGTTGCTGACGATATCCATCCCTTTATGACCAAAGTGTACCCATCTCCTGATGAGGACACTGTTTCCAGCAGGATATCACACCATGTTACAACATGACAATTAGTTCACTGCACTCAGATGGCTTCCACAGTCACCAGATTTCAATTCAATATAGCACAGTCTGGTAGAACAGGTGCATCGTGGATGTACACCTGATCGATCTGCAGCAACTGTGTGATGCCATCACATCAGTATAGACCAAAATTTCTGAAGAATAGTTTTAGCACTTCGTTGAATCTATGCCATGAAGAGTTAAGGCAATTATGAAGGAAATACCTAGTGCTGGCAAGGTGTACCTAATACAGAGGCCACTGAGTGTATTTTAGCAGGTCATGAATAACTGCTTAAATTCCCTTCATATACTACATAAAACATTTCACCAGGAATGAGAAAATGTTTAAAATATCAATGTTTCATTCATGATACCACCAGAACGACTCTATTAAGAATTAAAGAGAACTCAGATTCATTTTTAACAAACAGACTCTGCTTTGGGTTTGAAAAACTTATTTGAGGTTTCTAGGCTGTGCGCAGAGCCAGTTTTGCAAGTGCAAAAGTAGACCAGGTTAAGGAAAACATGCGTGTGAAATGCAGAATAGAAAACCCTGTAACAGTAATTACAGCTGAAGAGATTAATTTTATTTTTGCTGCTTTTTTAAAGAAATAAGAAACAAGTGGAGGAGGCGAGCTAACTCTTCAGAGATGAGCTAGCAGGTTATGACTAATAGTGCAGAGGGAGTAGGACGGCAGACCTTAGTCTATTTAAACACACTGTGTGAATGCCCACACTTTTGTTGTTTCATTTGGTGTAGGGCGGACTTAAGAGGAAAAATTAACCATTCAACTCAAAAATCCCACATGCTGCATCTAGACCACGGGTGTTAAACATGAGGCACAGGGCCATAATTGATCAGCCTAAAACTCCAAAGTGCCCAACTGGATTGCTTTGGAAAATGCTTTTGAAGAAGCGCATAAATTTTAGACTTTTTAACTGTATTTTCATTAGTTTTACAGCTTTTCTTACTGATACGGACCTTCCTCATGGCACTTCATACTACATCAAAGTAAATAAGTAACAGATAAACAATTAAATGACAGGAGGGTCCTGTTTATTCACTATTTACTAATGAAATCCATGATTACTGCAGTAGGATCGCAAAAAAAAAGAGGACATTCTATCAATTAACAAAAATTATCCATTTTATAATTGCAGGACAGTCAGCACAGTGAGTTAGCACAACTTTTTCTATAATTTTACAATTTAAGCTCAAAGCAGCATTTCTTTTCTATGCAGAAAAACTGACATTTATTGCTGAAATTTCTTTTTGATATTAAAATTTTTCTATACTTCTTTACTCTGACAGAAAAAGGAGTCTAACTGGTCAGTTAAGACCAAAGTGGTCCCATGTGGCTCGTGATGTAAAATGAGTTTGAGATTTATCACCGACACTTCTCTCTTTTTTAATGCTTGTTTCAGATTTCTGTATTTTGCTTAAATTGAGAGAAAAGTGAATTTTGACATCCCAAAACCAGAAAGCTGAACTAGAAAAACCACCATTGAGTATTTACATAATACAGCACCTTTTGAAAATGTTTTCCCTTCTACCACACTTTAGGTATGTCATATATGCTATATACAAAATTCTGTCCTGAAAATAAGAAAATTTAGCACTTTACCTGTCTCATAGAGTGAGGCACAGTAGCCGCCTGTGGAGACTGGTTTTGCATTTCCCCACAGAACGCTATTGCATCACTGGGTACAAGCGCTCCACTTCCACCTCCTCCTCCTCCTCCTCCAGAGTTTATATTAGGACTACTCCCCATTACAGCCGCTCTGACCCCATAGGGGACCCTGGCCCCAGCCCTCCCCAGGGTCATGGTGCTTTTGGGCAGCGAGGGATTCAACCCACTGCTCAGACTCCCAACGCCGACCGGGTCTTCAGCTGTGTCAGTGAAGTACATGGCACCAGTTGCATAGGCAGCATTAATAGACTGAATATTCTCCATGGATAAGGTTTTACCAGTGCCTGTAAGTCCTCCAGTGGAGCTGCTGCTGCTGTTTCGCCGGTGTCCTAAACGTGGGGAGCGAGACAGGCGTGGGGAGCGACCGGGACTCCCAGATGCTGACCCGTTCCCATTGGATCCAACAACATCCAGCTTTGAGACGGAACGGGAACTGCCGTACATGGTGACAGGAACAGTGGCGTGCACTACAGAGATGTGTGTGATCGAACAAGTAAATCAACTTAATCAAAGAAAAACATGCTCAAAATAAAAATTAAAAATAAAAAAAAAAATAAAAAGTTAGATGGATGTCCCCCACAAAAAGAAAATCAGTCAGTCTTCAACTTGGGCTCTTTTTGACTTGAAATATGTCATAGTGGTGATGCAGCTGTGATCAAGGCCTTTTCAACACCCTTGCTGTAATCCATGGGCTTTGTTAGAAAGTAGGAATCAATAGGGCATCCCTCTGGATAAAGCAAGCGAGGCAGTCAACAAGGGTTTGGATGATGGGATCACCTAAAAAGAAAAGAGATGAAGAGACTTGATTACTGGACAAAGACAAGCTGCACTTAAGGCACAAAGGAATACGATTTTTACTAGGCTGTGGTTTGGATCAGCACAGTAGCTGGGTAATCACATCTCTGAGTGTAGCTAGCAAATACAAAAGCGATCTGATGTGAAATAAATTGCACATTTGCCGGTCATAGCAAAGGTTTCGTTACTTGTTTTTATTTTGAATCACTTTTTTATGTTAATCTGCTAACAAGACAAAATGTGACTGAAAATGCCTCTTGAGTTTCTAGATGGAAGCTTGACTGTTTCAGACAGTCATTGCTGCAGCATTTGCACTGCAGCAGTGGCCACAAAACTGTGTCCACAAAGACACTTAAGGCACACTTAGCAGCCAGGCGTAAAGCTGCCACAGATGTCAGCATAAATTAACAGCAGGTTAAAGGACGACCTTACTGGCAAGAGTATTACACTGAGCTACAGTATATGCACACTCACAGCAAAAAAAATTAAGGCTGATTTCTTTTTCTACAAAGGCTGCTTTGTCTCTCCACCACCCGTTATGCCTTGTTCTTAATCACACCGTGCACCATATCAAACACTGTGTCCTAGAGCTGTGCAGCATCAGATAACATTCAATCAGCTGACTTCATATTTGGAACAAGCTTTGCTTTGCCTCTGTTCATTTCAGTCAGTTAATTTTTTTTTTTTTGTTTGCTTGTTTGTTTCATTTAATTCAATTTAATTATGCAATAAGATGCCAAGAAAAAAATCGTGTTTAAAAAAGATGATGAATAAATTTCCAGCAGTCTGTATTTCTATTAAAGCCTCAATAAAGAGATCAGTTACAGTGGTAATTGTGCGTGCGAGTGTGTGTTGGATAAAAAATAACTTACTAAAATTGATCAGTCAGTCACATCAAACAGTTCTTTTAAATTTTTTTATTGTGGTGCTAAAAATGAAACACGCCATCCCGGCTGCGCTCGCCTGTGTAATCAATTTAAAGGAGTAATCCCAAATATTTTGAACATGATTTATGAGCCTGTGCTCACATGTTTGTGATAAATGTCTTTCAGGTTTCTGAAATTTCAAACTTCCTTTCATGAAGGCTGTAAGCTTCCAGGGTTTCAAAACTTTATGTAGTATGTGAAACCCACTAATTATGAATCGAGTGGACTAAGTTACAGACTGAGCACCAATGTCTAGGGGTGGAAAATGGTAAAAGTGAGTAAATGCAGACTCTTGTGTTAAAATTCCCAACTTAACAGCATGTTCACAGCTTCTATAAGTTTGTTTCACTACAAAAGAGCCCTCGAATATGTTTTTTGGCGATGTTGGTGACGATCCTAGAAACAGCTGCGAATCTACAACACTGTGGCTGATGAAAAGAGAAAAAAATGTGAGATCCGAAGATGAAAAAAAGAAAAGAATTAAGGTGTTGCAATCGCCCGAAAACCAACTGAAACGCTGTTTCCGGTGTAAAGAACAGGCCGAAATTCCTCCACAACAGAGAATGATGAAGTCATGCAGAAAACGATTACTTCAAGTTACTGTTCCTAAAGGTTATTCTACAAGCTACTGAATCATGGAGTGGATTTTTCACAGGACTCTGCAGAGACCTGTGAAAACTTTCTCTTTCACACCATCCAACAAATCAGTGCTTCAGTCTGGAGGATGTTTCCATATTTTATTAGTCTTTTATTTAGAGCTACTTAGTTATTTTCCTGTGCCGACACCCATCTTTAGTATACAAAGTATATTTCAAACTCTAAAACAATTTGGTCTGTATACTCGTCGGTATAGAATTTCAGAATTTCTCATTGTTTGGCTACTCTTTAAGCCAGTGATGTTATCTTCAGGTCAGTGGACCCAATGGACACCCACACTGGTCATCCGATCCATATCTCTTACAAGAAGTGCAGCTTCAGATACAGTCAGCGCACACAAGAATGGAAACTTGTTTTTCTTGCGCCTTGCCTTTTCACTATTAAACAATAATACTTACAGAAAATGCAGAAATATTTACCCTCTACTTACATATAGCTGTTTTATCTTGAAGCTGATGTTTATCTGCAAGGTCATATTTAAATTGTTGCATTTACTTTGGGGCATCAATTCAAAATAAAAAGAATAATATTAGCAATAAAAGTTAGTTGTAAACAAAAAAAAGTCCATTCCTTAGTTTTATTATTTAATTCGTTTCCCTGAGTATGCGAGTTGTGCAGCCCCTCAGTCAAACAATCTGAATTTCCCTTCACCCGAGCCTGGCTTTAAACAGGCGTATACTCCCCAGTGATGCTCTGCTAGGCACAGATCTTTGGCCAGGGAAACGTTACTGACAGCCAGTCAGTTACAGCCACACACACTCATACACTCTGAAACAAAAACAGGGACCATCTGCTCTATCCCCCCACGGGCCAAAAACACACACCTGGATAGAAACAGGCCAAAGACCTCCCTCTAGCACAGGCACACACCCACGCATGCACACACTGGCATACAGTATGGACATGCACATTCACACAGATCAAAACTGAGTAAAATGAATATATACGGAGAGCTGAATCCATCCATACAGAAAAAAATCCAAATAGAGACATTTCAAGTTTCCGCTGTGAGTGATCGCGTCATTAAAAACACAGATACATCTAACGCTTGATTTGAACATGAGTCTGTGGAGATGGAGACAGAAAGGGTGGATTGGGGGCTTTCTTCCTCCTTCCCTAAAGATCTGATGACCTGTAGATAATCCAAGTGTTCACGTCCCAATTCTTGCTTTAATAGAAAAATCTACAGAGTCAAAGTCTTTTTTAGGTTTTATTTAAGCATTTGTGGGCACATACAAGGCTGATTTTCAAATTGCTATGACTGACAAACTACATTGGGCACTGAGTGGTTGTGGCAATAAGATATTGGACAAGAGGCAGGGTACACAACGTACAGTCAGAATCTATCACACACACAGACTCTTTTTACTTTTATTTCCTTGAGGACCTCATGGAAAACACAGCACTGCCTGTGTTGTGTTTTCTGATGTTCAAGTCTGGGGGTCACATGAATAAACCACCAGTGTATCTCACAGGTTGAGGCTTGTGTTGGTTTGATAGCCAGAGCCAGAGGTCCAAAAATACACAACAAAAACACCACCAACAACTCACACAAACCCACCTATGATGCAGCTGGTATCATGAGATCAAACGAGCACTAGCATATGACTCTCCAAGACCCATCTGTCAAGAGGCTTGCCCTTCCTCACGCCATTTCTCACAAATGTAAAAAGGGCAATATTGCTCAGCCTTAAGAAACATCTATTAAACAATGCTACACTGAAAGTTCAATGAGGTCATTCTTGACCTTGGAAACAGTAAAACTACACCTAAGGTCTATTCACTGGCTTAAATCAGATCAGAGCTTTTCCGTCTTTCAGTATTCATCAGCAGCTGGAGTTTGCTGCACTTGAAGACACTGGGAAAATCAGTGTGAACGATTAAACAGTAAATTTTTTATTTTTTTTTGCCTTATTCGATTAGAAATATTGTTTGAGCAGTTTTCAGTATTGGTGCTGATGTAGCTCTCTGTGGTGCTCTGCCAAAGCCACAATGTCTTTTGAAAATCCAGAGAATTCTAGAACAATGACACGCAACACAGGAAACATTTTAGCTTATTATGCTGTTCTACTGACACATCCATATAACTGAGGTTCACGGCCATTTCAACTGGAGCTGCTGTTCAAGTTGGAACTTTGACACACTGATCGCTAATGTTGTGCACTGTGCTCAAGTGTAATAGAAGTAAGGCTCGTGGGGGGGGAAGCTTTCTGAACATTATTTTTTTGGGAAAAACTGATAAACCTTTTAGAAACTTTTACTGGATCCGACTATACTATACCTTTACCAGTGATCACTGAAATAAGGTGACTGATTCTGTCTGTTCATTAGATACGGGCATCAAAGATGGCTGCAAGTTGCAACACTTGCTTTGTTAATGTTTTCTTGAACCTCTAAAATACCCAACTAAACTACCACGGATTGGTAACATAATAGCAACGAATCAGAAGGTGCAAGAAGAGACAGTCTCTAAGAACTCCCACTCTTGGAACTTCCAGTTTCACTTTTCTTTTTTCTTTTTCTTTTTTTGATAGAAGAAGTTTGATGTAACTATGCACCTTTCATCTATTGTTTGGAGCATGCCATGTCATAAATTTTCAACTGTCCAATCAACATGGATTACCAGGATGTCTTATGGGCAAGCTTCTTTGTGAGAAAAAGTTATTATTATTCCATACATATCATCAGTAATGTTTTTGTGACTATTAAAACTGATCATTTTGTCTATAACAGGTCTAAAAAAAAACTATTTTGACAATTTAGCTGTTATGTGAGTGCCCTTTAAGTGAATTATAGACAATCTGAGTACAATGGGATTAAGGCTTCAGTCACGCAGGTCTAAACACCAGTTAGCGACTTCCTAGCAATCTGTGTATTCCCCAGCTAATGCGGTTGTAAATGTGGTTGTGATTCATTTCATTTCTTTATTTATTTGACACATGGTTCAACAGTGTTTCAGCAGGACGTGGAGAAGTTGCGATAGAAAGTACAAGAAGTTTGTGCAAGTGTGTGTGTATGAACGGGACTATCTGCTCGACGGTCTTTGTTGATACGCACATTATGCAAACTACCTACGAGAAGCTGGGGACATTTCTGCTCGAAATCCACCGTGCAGCTGCTCACTTTTGTTTTAGCGTCAAGAGCCTGCGCCGCCACTGAGATATCTGTTTCTGTAA